ATATATATATATATATATATATATATATATATATATATATATATATACACACACACACACATACATACACACACACACACACATACTCACACACATACACGCACATACATATACATGAACACACACACACACACACACACACACATTCCAGCATTATTGACCCTTTCTGAGTCATAGAAAAGTTTTAGATGTTTGGACTTAGTTAATACTAGGATGGCGGATCACCAGAAAATCTGAGGGCTGTAGGCAAGAATCTGTGGTCCAGAGTTGTTTGCTGTTTTTGCTGTATAGTCCCCCTAGGCTGGTAAGAGTCTTTGGATTGTGGTGGGATAGAAATGTGAAAAATAAATTTAAAAGATAATGTAGCAAAAAGAAAAGCATATCTTTGGGAGAAAATGGAAAAACAGAAAAGTGCAAAAAATAAGAACCATATAAGTGACTTCCAACTTTCTTTCAAATAGATAATTACATTCTTATTGTCCCCCTCCTCTCTTATATATTTTGGATATTTTCTTAATTTTCAATCCATAAATATCAATTCATTTTTTTCTTCTTTCAGCAAAAGATCAGTATAAAGTTTTTCATTTTTCCAAAGTTCTTGTTGTTTGTTCTCTGACCAATTTGGTCAGTTTTGCCAGTTCTGACATTTTTACAATCCATTCAAATACTGTGGGAATTTCATTATTCTTATTTTATTTATTTATTTATTTATTTGATTTGCCAATTGTTTACAAGATAATAAGTATAAGTGTATACATAGTTGTGAATACATGAAATGGGTACATATAAGAAAAATAAAAGAAGAATAAGAGAAACAATAGGACAGGGACGGTAGGCACGTTGGTGCGCTTATGCACGCCCCCTACAGACCTCTTAGGAAAGGGGTGAGGTCAATAGTAGACAGTCTAAGGTTAAAGTTTTTGGGGTTTGGGGAAGAAACTACAGAGTCGGGTAGAGTATTCCAGACATTGACCACTCTATTGCTGAAGTCGTATTTCCTGCAATCAAGTTTGGTGCGGTTAACTTTGAGTTTGTATCTATTGTGTGCTCTTGTGTTGTTATGGTTGAAGCTGAAGTATTCATTGACAGGTAGGACATTGCAATGTATGATTTTATATAAGGGGCGAGGATTTAAGCAACTGCTGATTAACTGTATTCATTTTCCAGGAGAAGGAAAAGTTGATATTGGGCAAGTCATAAAGAAGGTTTTCAAACTAAAACGCTTTTCAGACATTGAAGGTGAGTGAGTTGAAACAGGGCAGGATATTTCTTTGGTAGAAATAGCAAAAGAGAAAAATAGTACTGAGTGGCTTATATCACCAGTGCAATCCACCTTTTTATTTATTAAACTAACTTACATAGCTTCCCAGAAGGGCAACATTGAATAGTGAAAAAAATAAAAACACAATATATTAAAGAGAAAATGAATTTTATTGAGGCTCTAATAATAATAATTTATCCCACTAATCACTCTATGCCAGCTTCATCAACATCTGGGGGGAAAGCCAGATTTTCACTGCTTTCCTAAAGAACAGTGGTTTCTGATTTTACCAATTCTCTTAAGAAGACTATAATTCAGGGAAAGGTAGAGGGAAAAAGAAGAGAATGGCCACTAGTAAGATGGATGAAATCTACTATAGTAGTGAGGGGGGCATCCATGCAAAATGAAAAAGACCAAGCTGGGACAGATCTTGGAGAAGATCTATCAACATTGCTGCTAAAAGTTACATTGACATGATGGCTCAAAATATATTTCTGACAATACAACCGAGTGTGCAGTTTCTGAGTGACATTAATGAGGAACACAAGTCAAATGATGGTGATTGGACGCTATCATATTTAGTGGTCACTCTTAGCATCTGAGTTTATTGACAAAGTTATCTTGCATGATCTTGTTTCTGAAAGTTTGAGTGAATATGAAGACCACTGCTTCTCTGGAAGTTGCTGAAAATGTCATATCTTCTTCCAAATTGTGCCTCTATTAGTCTTGAAAATTTAAGATGAATAAGGCCTGATGGTCACTTATACCTCTGGTCCTGGATGAGACTTTTGCATAACTTGTACTCCATGATTATTATCAGCGTGGGATCTGAAATTAGATTTTGCTTTTGAATCTGAAGCATAGATTTCTTTGAAATATGCCCAAGAGAATGCAAGATTATTTCCAAAATTGGAAGTGGGATTCTTGACTGTTGAATCTTAATGAACTATTCTAAGCATAAATAAACCAGGAAAGGTTTAATGATATGTGTTAGACACAAGTAAACTAGGACAGATTATGAAAATAATTTTCAAAAGCAATGTCTTATGTGATGTACTTATACATGTTTGGCTACATAAGTCCTGATGATTATTATCAGCCCTTTGAGATAGACCAGGTCAGAAAACAGTCTCCTCAAAAATGACTGAAACTATTTTACTGATATAGATCATTGTAACAGAATCTTGGAAGCCTAAATATGTTTTTCTTTCCCTTCCTCTTATAACTAGAGGAATTAAAGAGGAGCCCTAATAAAATTATTTTTAATATTTTCCCATGCTACAAACCTATTGCTGTATAGTTCTTCCAATATTATCTCTTTGGCTCGCTACAGTTGGATTGTTGGATTTTAGTGGGTATAAAATACATACAGTGTTGAAGACAATGTCATAGGAAAAAATACAGTAAGCCAATTATAGAAAAGCAAATATTTTTTAGAAGTCTAATCTTATTTCTCCCTCTGCCCTCTTCATAGTTCTGAATTATGTCATTGAGATCATTGACCAATTCAAGGAAACAAAGTTGAATGTTTCTGAAGTGGAGAACTCCTTCAGTAATATTGGAATTCATTTAAACAAGTCAGAATTAATGCAGGTCACTGAGATTTTGTCAGATGCTGGTGAGAATTTTGTTCCCACTCTGTTTTGGGGGAATCTGGTGGACATCTTGCTCAGAAGATGGAGTCTGGCAGGGATCTATTAGGGGAACTGGAGTTGAAATAGTTCTTTCAAAAGTAGCTGTTGGAAAACATGGAAAAATAATTGTGGATCAACTGATTTGATCAACCATACATAGCCATGGTGAATTTCATGTACATTTTGGGCCTTTCTTTAATACTGGAATTCCAAGTCACCCTGCATATAGTGTCACCAATACACAATAATGCAAAAGCACTCACCACTAGAATTATTTTTTATGAAATAAAAATAAAAAATAAAAAAACCCTCACTTTTTATTTATGGGAATTCTTCAAAAAATAAAAAATAGTGGATTCAATTTGCCTAGAAAAAGACCCAGATTACCTAATACATCTCCTTAGAGGGAAAAGCCAGTGTAAATTAACCAGGGTTTAAAGGGTATGCAGTGTGCTAAAGATGCTGGTGATAGGCAGAAATCTCCTCATTTTCCCTCTCCTCGTTGTCTTTTTCTGAATATCCACAATGGCCTTTTTCTGAATTACAAACCACTCTTCATCAATTGGGGGAGAGTATCTGCATCATGCTCTCCAGGTTCCAAGCATGTCCACCAACCTAAAAAGCCTTTTGGCCTTTGCCCTGACCCCAAGAAATTTACAACAGGCTAAAAGAAATTCAACATTACTACAGTGCTAGCTAGCAAAGGAAAAATAGCAACAAAACCCAAGATATCTGTAGGATATAATCTTGGGAAAGTCTGGTGGTTCAAAATTGTGTTACTCTTGTTCCCAGGAGCCTCTGAGAAGTAATGAGCAACCAACAAACTTGAGAGAAGAGAAACTTTGAAGAGGAACTTTTCTCTCTATGGAATTTTGATTTTGTTTGTTCTGCCCTTCACATGACCATTTGATGCTGTTGAAACTTGAATACTGAGGAATTGATGGTATAGAAATGGAAATAAGCAAATAAGTTTGAGATTTTCCATTTGGAAATAGACTTCCAGTGCCATCACATCAGCACTGTAGGGCTCACCCTGTGGGGGTTTTTTTTGCGGGAGAAGGGCAGATTATAACTACCTAGTTTCATCTTTGTTTCATTTGATCATTTACACTTTCTTAGAAATTCCTGGCCAAGGAATATGGGTTATCTATCCCTTTATTAAACTATTAAATATCTATCCCTTTATTAAACTATTTCTGGTGAAAATAAATTTTTAAACTTCTGTCTTTCCTGTATTTCTGAGCTGATTTCCTGACTTTAACACGTATGGTAGACAATCTGCCATTTTATGTGATGTTATTATCTATGGTTCATTATGCTGCACCAATATTAATAGCTCATTTGGTTGATCTGATAACATTTAATGGTTTCCTTTTTTTTTTTTCCTTTATAGCTGGTGAGACCGTGGATGTTAAAGAACTGATATCAGCTATGAATGAAACTAGACGATTTAAAAATTATACTGGTAAAGTTTTAGGAATGTGTTATGTGGGTAGCTCGGTGTCAGCTCTTTTCTGTGAGGTTTATATGCAACTTTACCACATCAGTAGTCAGTCAGTCACTCTTTTATTGATTGATTTATATAGTCATCCATCTCACACAAGTGACTTTAGCTGGCATACAAGGATTTAAAAACAAAACTCTTACACCATATAACCCCAGACAACCAATGATATTATGCAATAAGCCCACTCACAGGGAGAGAAAAAACACAACAACAATCACAACACTCAACTAACTTGACTCAAATGCTTATGAAAACAGCCAGTTCTTCAATGCCTTACAAAAGACTAAAAGGCTTGGGACAATCCAAATCTCCAGGGAGGTGATGTTCCATAGGATTGGCACAGCCACCAAGAAGACCTGACTCTAGGGTCCCACAAGAAACATTGATAGAAGGAACCTAAAGCATGCTTTCTGTAGCTCTAGTGAGGCCAGCAGAAACAATGGGAGAAAAGTGCTGCAAGTAGCCTGGCATATCATGAAGGTTTTATAGACTATAACCATCTGGAAGCCCGCTGGGAGCCAACACAGCTTGCAGAGCAGTGATTTTGATAATGAGAAATGCCAAAATAGCTGCATTCAGGACCAACCACAGTCTTTGAATGCTCTTCAAGGGCATCTCCATATGGAGTGCATTATAGTAATCCATAAGAGAAGTACTTAAGGTCTGAGTCACCCTGAATAGGACCTCCCTGTTGTGCACAATTGGCACACAAAACATCTGCAAATGTTCCCCTGGCCATGGCTATCCTTTACGCAGGAGGACATCCAAACTGTGCACCAAATCTGATTGGGGGAGAGCACCCCTACAGAATTAGATGGAAAATCTCTAGAACCACGGTCTATAAAACACATAGTCTTGCCAGGATTGAACCAATACTTCTTCTTCCCCCATCTGGACTCTTGCAGCATCCAGGCATCATTAGGAAAGGACTTAGTAGCACCAGTTGCTAGGCTTGGTGGTCGGGCGAAGTCGGAGGACACACAGGGAAAGAGAATTGTATGCCTTAATTAGAGCAATACAGTATGCCGTTTCCAGAAAAGAAAACAATGTGTTTCTTCTAATATTAGAACCACTCGGGTCTATTTTGTTTCCTATGCATCGGTTAGCAAAAGATAGCTTGGCTTTAATGAATATAATCTATACATCTATTTAAAGGATGGCTTTAACTTTGATGAATGATGTCTATGATGTCATGGACATAGTGTGAAGAAGGATGGATTCTCACCCCCCTACTGCCACCCATATATTTTGTGCTATGGCCCAGCCCACTGCTAGAAAGCAATCCTGGAACAGTTCCCTGAAGTTATTTCAATCTTTGGGAAGAATCCCTTCCATTCAACCAACAGAATTATCCATATTTCCCTTTAGGTTTATCAAAAACCTATGGGCTGCAATACTCATTCAAAATGAGAACTTTTGCCCTTCTGCATAGATATAAATAACATTGCTGATCCTTGCCTCTCTAGCTGTGCTTGACTGCGTCCTAGCTCTCAGGTTGATTAAGGAACACCAAGCAGCACGATTGAAGCTTGAAACAGAAACTCTCAGAACTATAGACCTGCCCATGGCTAACCAAGTGATTGGCCAAGCACTAAGGTCAGCAAACATAACAGGTAAGTGGCCAAGCCATGAGGAGAGATGTAGCTGTCCTAACGTTGTAATAGTTCTGTAGAAAAAAGATAGGAGTTGTGTAAGAGATGACCAGGCTGAGCCTAAGGAAGGGATCAAGTGCGTCTTAAGTCCTTTGCTGCCTTCAAGAGAGCTAAGTCCAGCCTACCTTGAATTTCATTGACTCTTTTTTTTAAAAACAAACTTTATTGAATATACAATTAAAATAAACGAACAAACACATACACAACATAGAAAAATAGAGAAAACAAAAAAAATGAATTAAAAGCAATTCCATTATCGACAGTTTGTAGTTCCTTATATGTTATTATTGGCGTCATATTTACAATTAAATCTTAATGCGAGTATATAGTTACTACCTCCTTTACGGTTTAATAATGTTTACTATTTATATTATCTATCTTTGTTCTATCCAATCATACCAACATTCCCAGCTCTTGTAATATTCTGATGATTCTTTATCCTTAAGTGCTAGGGTCAATTTATCCATTTCTGTACAGCTTATTATTTTCTGAATAGTAATTTCCTCTGTTGGAATATCGGCTTGTTTCCAACATTGTGCAAAAGCTAATCTAGCTGCAGTAAGTATGTATAATATTATATATTTGGCTTTTGGGGGGAGTTATCTATTGAATATCCCTAATAGGGAGAATTCTGGTTTTAATTCAATCTGCTCAGCCATTATTTCCTCCAACCATTTTTTGATTCTTTGCCAGTATTTTTGGGCTTCTGTGCAGGACCACCACATATGGTAGAATGTTCCGTGTTTCTTTTTACATTTCCAGCAATTCGGATTCATGTTAGGAGACATCTCCGTTAATCTCGAAGGAGAGAGATGCCATCTGTAAAACATTTTATAGGCATTTTCTTTATATGTTGCTGATTTTGTGATTTTATTATTCCTGATTCAGACCTTTTCTCATTCTATTAAGGTGATGTTATGTCCTATATTTCTACTCCAAGTTATCATATTGCCTTTGACTACTTCCTCCTCTAGTTCTATCTCTAATAAGTAGTTGTAAAATTTGGTTATATTTTTTTTGTCTGAACCTAGTAAGATTTTATCTGATTGTTATGGGTTACTGTAAATTCCAAAAGCTTTCTTATCCTGTCTATATCTATTTTGTATTTGGAAGTAAGTGCACCGGTCAATTCGTAGTCCTTGTTCTTGGAGATGTTGCCATGATTTTAAAGTTCCTGGTGCATCCAGTAGGTCTTTATATTTTATCATCTTGTTAAGATTCACATTGTTTGGGTGTATAATCGCCTCCATCATTGAGATCCAAATTGGGATCTTTAGATAGCGTTTTTTCTTTATTTTATTCCAATTAGCCAATAAAGAGTCTTCTAATTACATGTCTGTGGAAGTAATTCTGTTTGGTTTTCCCTGTGTCCCATAAAAACGCATGCCACCCCCTCTGTAAATCATGGCCTTCTAGAAATAATATTCTTTTATTCGATAAATGTACCCATTCTTTCAGCCATAATAAGGAGGCTGTGCTGTGATATAGTTCCCAATTTGGGAGTGCCCTGCTCTTCATATCTTGCATTGCTTTTAAATTTATTCTCGGTTTTTTCCCTTGCCAAATAAATTTTGCGATTATCCTATTGAGTTCCATAAAGTAGTTTTTATGTATTTTTATTTGTATTGTCTGGAACAAATAAATAAATTTAGGAAGAATGGTCATTTTAATAGTGGCAATCCTCCCTAGTAGGGAGAGTTGCAATTTAATCCATAGCTCTAGGTCTTTTTTAACCTATTGTAGTAGTTTGTTATAGTTATTTTCCATTAGTGTCTTACAATGAGCCATCAGCCATATTCCTAAATATTTAAATTTTTTTACCACCTGTAATCCCATGGCCTTTTCCAATTCTGATTTCTGTTTTTCTGTTAAGTTTTTTTGTAATTAATTTCATTTTTTCCCTGTTAATTTTGAGTCTTGCGATTTTCCCAAATTGATCTAACTCTTTCAACAATTCTTGACCTACTTCAGTTGGGTCCTCTATGAAAAAGACCATATCATCCGTGAATGACTGCAATTTATATTCTTCTTTCTTAATCTTTAACCCCTTTAATCCTGGGTTCTGCCTAATTCGTGTAAGCAGTGTTTCCAAAGATAGTATGAAGAGCAGGGGAGATAATGGACATCCCTGCCTAACTCCTTTCTCTATTTTTATTGAGTGTGTATATTCTCCATTAATTATGATATTTGCTTTTTGTGAGGCATAAATTGTGATTAAGATGTTTTCAAATTTAGTGCCTAGATTCATATTGTAAATTTGTTGGATTAGGAATTGCCAATTTAAATTGTTGAAGGCCTTCTGCGCATCCAAGAATACAAGAGTTACGATAAGAAATTATTTGGGTATAACAAAAGACAAAGTAATTGGGGATGAGATGAAAGAAATGCTAATTAAAGATATTATGTGGTCTGAACTAAAAACAGCAATAGAAAATAAAATAAAATAAAAACTCCAGGACCTGATGGGGAACTCTACAAGGCAATAGGAGAACAAATAGGACCCCTCATGGTAGAAATATATAATGAGGTTTTACTTGCAGCTAAAATGCCGGATTCATGGAGGGAGACATTGATTTCGCTGATTCCGAAGAAAGATTCAGATCCTCGACTCATACAAAACTATAGACCAATTTCTTTGTTAAATACTGATTATAAAATATTTGCTACTATTATAGCAAATAGACTAAAAAGAATCTTGAATGAATATATGCATAAAGACCAAAATGGATTTCTCCCCAACAGACAAATTAGGAACAAATTAGGAAAATCTAAGAATAGTGTTAAATGTTTTGGAATACTACAAAACCCATCTGGAAAAACGAATTTCTTTTTTTTTAATTTAAGTTTTTATTGGTTTTTAAAAACAAACATAAACAAACAAAACATAAAAACATCAAGCCATCTTCCATATGTATACATACAGTGTGCTGGTTGGTTTACAAATTGTTTTCGTAGTCTTCAATTACAATTACATTGCATATAATCTCATATTTTCAATCAAAAATTAAATACCTTACTATCATTATTAATCAATCATTTGACTATACTTTTATTCATTCATGTTTCACAAGATAATCATAATTTACTTAGTTTGTTTTATAACAGTTCATATTATCATCCCAAATCTATCCTAAAATCATTTTGTAGATATAATAAGAAAGAAGTACATCTTTATATATTTATTATTTTCTAAAAGTCTACATATTTCATTACTGTATTTTATTGTCTAACCGTTGATAGAATAGATCCCAAATTTTATCAGATTGTTTATCCTCTTGTTCTCTAATTTCAAATGTCAATCTACTCATTTCAGCACATTCCAATATTTTCTTAATGATTTCCTCCTGTGATGGTGTTTTCTCATTTTTCCAGTTTTTAGCAAATACAATCCTAGCTGCTGTTAATACATTTACAATCAGGTATTTCAAGTCTTTACTATATATTTCAGGTAAAATTCCCAATAAAAATATCTCTGGTTTCAAGTCTATATGTTTTTTTGTCATTTTTTCCAACCACATGTGGATTTTAGTCCAGTATTTTTTAGCATCTGCACAAGTCCACCACATATGGTAATATGAGCCAGGTGTCTGATGACATTTCCAACATTTTTTGGATTTATTCTTGAACATTCTTGCTATTCTTGTTGGGGGGAAATGCCACCTGTAAAACATCTTATACAAATTTTCTGTTTAATTAAATTTCTGTTTAATTCTGTTAAAATGACTGTTGACATTGTCATTTTATAATTTTGAGACCACAATTTTTGCCATTTCTCTAAATCAATCCCATATCCAAAATTCTTCCTCCAAGCAATCATAGTTTCTTTAACTTGTTCTTCTTCTAGTTTGATTTCTAATAAATATCCATACAATTATTTAATCACCTTTTCATCAGTACCTGTCAAAATCTTATCTAAATCAATCAATTTATCATAGAAACCTTCCATTTTAGAATCTTTATCATACCTTGAATGTATTTGCGCATATGAAAACCAATTCATCTTTATACCTTGTTCCTCTAGTTTTTGTATAGATTTGAGTTCACCCTTTTCATTCAATATTTCACCATATCTAACTGTTTGTTCCTTTTTGTATATTATAGGATAAGAAAATGCTTCAACAGTCGATAGCCAGACTGGAATTTTCAAATAACATTGTTTTTTAATCTTCTCCCAGTTTAACCACAGAGACAGTATATACAGTATAACCTGTATATAATGTCTTCTAAAATACCCCTGTGTTTTAGTTCCTTTATACCATAAAAAAGCATGCCACCCCAACAACAAATCATGTCCTTCTAATGTCAACAATCTAGTATTTCTTAGTGTTATCCATTCCTTAACCCACATTAGATTTGTAGCTTGGTGGTACAACTCCCAATTAGGCAAACCAAATCCTCCTCTAATTCTAGCATCTTGCAAAAGTTTTAACTTTATTCTTGCTTTCTTACCTTGCCATATATATTTCAACACAATTTTATTTAAATCTTCAAAGTAATCTTTTTCAAGCCTAATTGGAATTGTTTGAAACAAATATAAAATTCTGGGTAATATATTCATCTTGATTGTTGAAATTCTCCCTATTAATGACAGTTGTAAATTTTCCCATTTCGCCAGATCTAGCGCTATCTGCTGTTTAAGTTTGACATAATTATTCTCTTTTAGTGTACTACATCTTGCTGTCAAATATATCAGCAAGTACTTGATTTTATTTGTGACCTGAATTTTCAATAGGTCTGCCAGTTCTTCCTTTTGTCTTAATAGCATATTCTTTGTCAAGATCTTTCTCTTATCTTTATTTATTTTCAAACCAGCCACCTTTCCATATGTCTCTATCTTTTCTATCAATTTTGGTGCTGTTTCTAGAGGGTCTTCTAAGATGAAAACCAGATCATCTGCAAATGCTTACAGCTTAAATTCTTCCTTTTTGATTTTCATTCCTTTTATATTCTTTTCATCTCTA